GTGGACTGCAGTTTCGACCTCGCATCGGAAAATTCTACTACCAGTCCTTCATCACCTTAAAGGAAATAGGATGAATACATTTCATTGTCCAATTCTATGCCATATTTGAGTGCGTTTCCACATTCTATTTCTATCTTGAATGAGGACTTGAGGCGATCTGACGACTGTTGATGGCGAGTAGATTTCACCTATTGCCTGGTAAAACGGTTCAGATGTTGCCTCCACAAAAGCCGACCGCGGATTCCTCTTGTCTTCGAGGCCATTCTCTTTGGTCGTGATGAAAATGTAGAACGCTTTGATTGGTCCATGTCATGCCCCAATCTAGAAGCAGTTAAGCGTGTGAGCTTGTGTATGTGAGGCTGTGAAGCCAAAGTAATCATAACACAAGGTTGCATCTATCCTCGCTCGTCAAGGTTTAACGCAGAACGCAGCGTTTACTCTCGACATTTCCACCGCTTCACCACATTGCCACAAGGCATTTTGTCATATCACATTCTGTGTTGGGATTGCCGATGTAGCAAAAGTGTGTTTGCCATAGCAATTGACTACAATAGTTATTTTTCGTTCATATGGGCATTCCCATACTACCAGTAGATCATATGCATCGTATGTATTCACCCTATTTCGTTTAGGCTGATGAAGGACTGATTGTCGAATTTTCCCACACTCAGCTGAGTGGGCCTCTGGTTTCCATTGCATTTCACATAAACTTGGCTCCTGCGAATGTATCAGCCATGCTCAAGACCTGTTGGTGGCCTCGAAATCTAAAAAATTCGAATACAATGCCCAATTGACCCTTTGGCCTACCAGCATCCACAGACGTGTGGAGTGTGGCAGAGGGTTCGACGACAGTTTCGAGTCGACTTGGAGGATATCGAGGCGAAATGGAGACTGCAGTACACGTTGTATGAGAACACGCTTTTAGGAGGCGAGATTCGGTGGAATTCAATGCAGTCGTAAAGTCGACTGACTCGGCTGGACTCGGTGCTGCCTTCCAGACCGGGCCAGAGACGTCTGGTTAACTGCGAGAGAACCAAGCGGTAACTGGATTATGGCCCCTCGAACCACCCTGACGAGACAGACTTGACTTTTTGCTCGAATAGACTCGCCGATTTTTTATTCATTCACTTAAGGTCAGTTGCTTTCTTTGTGTGTCTGCATGATCAGTTGGTCGTCGTTGGTCTGTGCACCCTATAGGCGACAATTGAAGTGTACAAACTGTGAAATCACGCGAATTAGCAAATAATACAAAAAATAAAATAAAAGAATTCTTCAAAGCCGAGAAGAGAATTGCGTCCAGAGTGACCAGTTGCCAGGTAGAAAGGTCGTAAACTCGAGACCTGACAACCGTCGGCAAGAGGAGCCGGTTTCACTTTGCAAGACGTGGCGGCGGACAGCCTCAGAACCGGTTCCCACGCGAGTCACACCGACCAACCGACAAGTCTCCTCTCTCTGCCCCGAGACAGGACGGTACAGCACCTCTTCGCCTACGCCCGCTCTGCCGACCCCCTCGACTGTCGAATCGCGTGGCTGGTCGTCCTCTGCTTTGGTCTGCAGTCGTTGGTAGCCATTCGCGAAGGTTTCTTTCTCACGCACCGGCACAGTTGCCATCTCTGCTCGAAGTTAACATGAACTTGCCGACCCTTTCGCGGCGACTTTGGGACACGCAGAAATGT